GCATCGGGCTCCCTGCTCAGCGGGAAGCCTGCTTCTCCCTCTCCCGCTCCCCCTGCTTGTGTTCCCTCTCTCGCTCTGTCTCTCTCTGTCAAATAAATAAATAAAATCTTTAAAAAAAAAAAAATTCTTACCTTTTTCTTTTATCCTCCTCATTATCAGTCACCTAGTCTTGATTTTAGCTATGGGATCCTGACAAATTAGTTACATTGTTTCAGTTAGGCCTTTGTTATTGCAAAGACATTCTTTTTTTCTCAGGAAGATAGGCCTCAGGAAAAACATGAATTACACAGCAGAGCCTGCCCAGGTGTAGACAGAACTAGGTGGCTATCAGTTCTGGAACAGTTTACAATCTTTGACTCTCTCTTGGCTTCATATTCAACTCCCTATTTTTTCTCTTTCTGTATCCTTTCAGTTTTAGCCACAGCTACTAACTCTTTCATTACCTCAGCACTGCATACTTCAAATTCCAAAAAGAGAATGTGGTTCAGCTAAAATATACCTGTTTGACAAAACTTTTCATGCTAGATGCTGGTCAGCCAGTACATTTCTGGCTGCCCCTTAAGTCAAGTACATGCTCCTGGCTGGAAATCATGTGATTCAAAATAACCACCTAGTGCTGTTCGTTTATCAGGGGCTATCTTTTGGTATTTGTTGTAATTTTTCTTTTTTTAAAATTGGATCTTAATGGTTTAATATTTCTTTTAGACACCTTGAAAATGCCCTTTGAAACCATTTTTCCCTACTGCCATTCCTGAGACTGTCTTATTAGCTCTTACCTATACTAATGCAGCATTATTCTCCCACTTCCTAATCCCCAGATAACTTCTTCCAGGTCATCTTTTTTTTTTTTTTTAATTTTTTAAATTTTAAAAAAAATTTTTAAAGATTTTTATTTATTTGACAGAGAGAGACACAGTGAGAGAAGGAACACAAGCAGGGGGAGTGGGAGAAGGAGAAATAGGCTCCCCTTTGAGCAGGAAGCCCGAGGTGGGGCTCGATCCCAGGGACCCTGGGATCATGATCTGAGCCGAAGGCAGACATTTAACCAACCGAGCCACCCAGGCTCCCCCCTTTGGGTTGGTTTTATGCCCAGGAGGCTCTTCCTGTGGCCAGCAATGTTTTGTGTTCTCAGCTTACCAACAGAGGGAAAATTATCTCTTTCCTAGTAGGTACAGCAGAAGTGCTGGTTTTACTGCCTGGCTTGAGTCATATGCCAATTCCTGAGGCAGTCACTGTGGCAGAGGGATGGAATGTCTTGTCTAGGCCTGAATCATGCACCATCCCTGGAGCTCCGTGGTGAAGCCAGCCCAACTTGAATTGCATGAACTGAAAGGACACCAGGGGCAGGGTTTCCCAAAGGAAAATTGGATGTCAGATACCGGGATGAGGAAAAATGGATTCTGGGCAGCCGAAAGTAACGGAATTCCTCCATTACACTTTAAAAAGACCCAGTAGGAAAGCTGACACTTGTCATATAATATGTGTGCACAAGCATATATATACTGAGAAATGTGTAAAAATAGACACATTAAGCTGTTCACATTGCTTATTCCAGGGGACTATGATTGGAAAAGGTAGAGGACCAATTATAGTATTTGTTATGTATCTGTATTATTTGACTTGTTGCCGGGAACACAGGTTATTTTTTTTTTTT